GGGGAAAAAATAGGATACCGACATGTTAGGTATATTTATACTGAACTATATACAAAAAGGTGGGATAAAAATCTAGTAACAATAATATAAACCATTGTCAGTGGATCTTCTGAAATGGCAGCTTCCACATCCTCCAACCCATTCACACAATTACCACTTACATTTTCTATCCACATTGTACTTGTTTTCTTACTTCTGAAAACTCATCTTATTCACATCAGATGCAATATAATGCACAAAAACACTTTTCAATGCATAATTTGGGATGGACTCCTTATAACTTACACATGCAGATTATACTACTGTGTAAAACAATATATAGGAAAAAAACGTTGGGTTGGAAAGAGGCTTCCACTTTAGTTCCTTCATTAAAACATGGAGGTTGCTGCTTTTTTTTTTTTTTTGATGATACCAGTTCGTCATGGGAATCGCCATTCCACAAAAGAAGTGCAACCACCCAGTCAAAGGTTTAGCTCCCTTCAATGAAAATGGGGTCACGCTCAGCACTTCACCCCCTTTCCCAGGGGACTGCACTTCCTATCCAGGGTGCATCGGTGGGAATTCATGGCGGGCTTTTTTACATCGCTACCTTCGCCCTCCATTTAATTTTTGTTTATATTACTGAACTAGCAACCACAAAGGTGTTTAGAAAAGGTTCAATGGCGCGCGAGGAGTGGAGGCCCGACTCAGTCGAGAGTTCGTATCCCAGCCTTTCATGCACGTAAAGCAAGAATATGCTGGATGCACGGACGTGTGCATGTGTGAATTCACACAGAGACAGTGTTTCTGAGTTTGTCTACTTTTCGGATAACAGGCGACGACACGTGTGCGCCTTCCCCAGGGCCTTCCCTCCCTTATCATGCCCAGGTAACACCTGCCCCCCTACCAATCCCCCAAACCCCCCCCCGCTGGCTGTTCTCACTCGTAATCGCCAGTTGGCATCGTGGCCGATGGAAGAGCAGCAAACGGAGCCAAACAACTCAGGCCTGGTTCGAGGGCAGGAAGTGGGTGCCGCAACGCATAAGCGTGACGCACAATAGAGCGCCGCAAGAGGCATCCTGGGAGGTGTAGTTCTGCTGCTCGACACAAGCGGAATCGTGCTCAGTTTCGCCTGTGTGACAGTTCAGACACGTGACAGGAGAGAAGATTGTCCATGAGAATCACTTAAAATATTAGTTCCCTGCATTGATACTTTTGCATAATATATATTTTAAACCAACACATATTATTTTGCCCCACGTGATTGAAAGAACATACTAAATTCAAACGGACTGGTTTGAATATACGAATAAACTACAAAATCCTCTATATGAGTGAATGTTTGCCCATCGCTCGTTTTTTGGTCCCTGAGTAAGGATATGTGTGGTCATACAGTAACTGGATTCAGACCTAACCATAATGCAATTTAATTCGTTTTGGTTTAATCAGGTGGGTGAATTGGGTATATTAACCATGGGTTAGGATTTACTATGTTGTGCAGACCTAGCCAGTTGTAGTTTATTGAGTATGCCAAGATTAAGCTGACTGAACACGATGCATAAACTATATTTTCTTAATCCCAATTCCACTCTCCAGCCCCCCTATGCTTAACTCCAATGCCATGACAGGGGTGATCTAGTGTGCATTACCAAGACTTGGTTGAACATAGATAATTCTTCTTTCAGAAATGTGCTCTAGATTTTGAGGATGCAACCAAAAGGATTGTAGCTTTCAGAAATGCTGCTCCCTGGATAGCTGGTTATGAGAATCTGCTGGTGAGATTAGGCCCTGGGAATGCATGGGCTATTGCCACTATATCGGCAGCATTCCTACCTGAGCTCCTCCAGGACACTGGCGTTTTCCAAACTAGTAATAGTGGAGGACTTTAATCTGCCTTCTCTAGGCATAGATTTGGACATGGCTCAGGAGTTCACGGCTGTCATAGAAACTTGAACCTGACCCAGAGAGTTTACAGGGCCAATTTATAGTAGTGGCCACACTTTTGGGGAGGGGGGTACCTTTGACTCAGGGTTGACTCCTGGTGCCTGCTTAGAAAAGTCTCTTCAGTTTTCTCGGCAACATTTCAGAAGTGGTTTGACATTACCTTATTCCTAGGGTTGAGAGACAGCGACTGACCCAAATTCACCCAGCTGGCTTTGTGCCTAAGTTTAGATGAGATGGAATTGGGAGTTATCACTATCTAGCTCTTGCTGTGATTGAGCACTGTTAATTCTGCAATCACTTCTTGCTGCAGGGTAGAAGCACCAATTAAACTGGTCTATCCCATATGTCTGATGGACGCTGTTAGGTTTTAAAAGGAGCTTAAGGTAACTAAAACTCTGATGCATACTTTTTATGAAATTGTCATTGCTGCTTGGAAAGAGGGGGCAACCATGGTCTTGATCATACTGTGCCTGTGCAGGCTCACTCTGTCCATAGATTCCAAAGAATGCCTTAGAGCTCTAGAAGAATTGGAAGAAGATACACTTAATTGTCATTGAAGGAAAACAATGATAAAAAAAAATGGATAGAATCCTTTCTTAAAAATCACCAAAATAGCAGTAAGTGACAAAATATAATTATTTTTCTGCTCTTATTACATCCAGATAGCTGTGCAACAGCCTTTAGAACAGTGGTTCTCGACCTATGGGTCGGGACCCCATTTGGGGTCGAACGACCATTTCATGGGGGTCACCAAACAACGCAGTCCGCCATTTTTCCCCCTTTTCCTTAGCTGTGCTATTCCCTTTTATTCTATTGGCTTTTGAAAGCCAATAGAATAGACTCTCTTGAATAGAGTCTAATTCTATTGGCTTTCAAAAGCCAATAGGAATTATCCAGGCTGTCTCTGCCCTGCTGAGCCCGCCAAAAGTCCCATTCTGCAAATGGTGCTGCACCAGTTGAGTAGTCCTCGACTTACGACTGGTTGGGGGTCGCGGCATTAAAAAGGTTGAGAACCACTGCTTTAGAATGTCCTAATTTCTTCTAAGGAGAGGGGCCCCAAGGCTGAAACTCTAAGCCTCTGTGGGATAAAGTAGTGTGGATTTCTTCAAATTTCAATTGTGCAATTTCCTTTGAAACTAAGATACAATCCAGGATGGTTGCCTGGCACAAATTTGAATCCATTAAAGGTCATCCTTGTCTTACAACCATTCATTTGAAATTTCACATCTTCCTTCCCCTGTCCTTGCCACCTTCTACAGAGCCTCCTGTCATACAGCATTACAGTCTGGTTTGGAAGCATCACTTCTTCAGACAGGAAGGCTGGTGAGGATGGCTGAAAAGATCATTGGCAGTTCCCTCCCTTCCATCCAGGACATAGCATGTAAGAGTTGCTTGAGCAGGGTCCACAGTATTGTCTGGGACTCTATACATCCTCTTCATGACCTGTTTTTCTTGTTACCTTCTTGGAGGAGGCTTCATGGTGTCTGAAGCAGACGATCCAGATCCAGTCAGTTTTGTTCCATATAGTATTAGTGTTTGTGAACTCTAAAGCTTCCTCTTTCCACTATGTATTCAAGATGGACAGTGATTAATATTTTTGTTATTTATTTATAAAGGTGTAGGTTTATACATGTTTAAATGTGTGCCCATGTTCTATCTGCTATCTGAAGATGTACTGTCTCAGAATGATTATTTGGCATCATTAGATATGTCAGTGAACAAAATTCTTTTTAGTTGCTTGAAAAATGGAGACCATTAGGGTCCTTTTTACTGAAAACATAGCAAACTTAGGTTTACAAATGACAATAGTATAGTCCCTGAGAAGCACTCGAAATAATAGCTCCCTGCAATGATACTTTTGCATAATATATATTTTAAACCAACACATATTACCCAAGCTGAGATTATTTTCCAAGAGGCATTATTGCCTTTGGAAGAACATACTAGGTTCAGTGAGGCTGCTTTTGAATATGGACTTGTGATATTACTGCTACAAAGCCTTCCTGCTTTGTAGCAGCATCCCTACATGAGCTCCTTCAGGCCATGTTTCGGTTGACGCTGGAGCTTCCCAAATTAGTAATAGTGGAGGACTTTACTCTGCCTTCTCTGGGCATAGATTTGATCATGGCTCAGAAGTTCATTGTGCAAACCATGCCAGTTTCTTCTTGGATTTCTTGTTTTTATTCTGAGTTTGTTAAAAATCTGCTCTTTTAAAATTTAAGACACTGGATTATATTCTATTGCTTGTGTTTGCACTGTGTTTTCCTTTGACGAATGAAGGCAAACATTCCATATTCTGGTGAGAGAGAAGTTCCCTGAGGAGGGGCTCCAGCACAGGTCCAAAAGCTTACAAGACCAAACCTCTGGTCCCGATGACCGACCCAGATTGGATCCTGCCATTTCCTTTGAGATAAGGCATGGTCCAGCATGTCTGTCTGGCATGGGTCTGAACTCATTACAGGTAATCATTGACTTACATCCATCCAGGAATGTCTAAACCTTTGCACGCAACTGTATTGGGTAGCTTGGATGTCTGTATTGCACTAAGGATACATGCCCCTTTTTGTATCTGTATTATGCCCACATATACATGTGATTTAAAAAAATAGCAGTAACAGAAGGACAGATTGCCTTCTTTTTTTTAGCACGCCATTATCAATTTCCTGCAGGACTAATAGCGACTTCACTGTAACCTAGACAAGTGTTCAAGTTAAGCTGTCAGGACAAACTATGACTCTGATCAACTAACCAAAACTGCTATGATTATAGCCTTGTGCTTAAGAAGCTGTGCTAGCCAGAGTCTAACCCATGGTTAAATATGGTTTGCCACATTGTACAGATCAGTAAGTATTGTCTTTCTCGCAGCAACAGAAAACTGCTCTGAAGAGAAACATGGCCTGTCTCAGTTAAGATGATAGGCATGTAAGGATAAAGCTTGTCACAGTGAACAGACTAAATGAGTAAGTACTGACCAATCAAAAGATTGGTGTAACAATGGTAGATCCCAGAGGTAATATTAGCCAAATTAAATGCAACAGGGGACAATCATTTGAAAAAAATCAACAATGGCCCTCTAATAATTTATAGGAGATTTATTTGAAGAAATATTACAACATATAAAAACTACATAAAGTATTATTTCCACTTGTATAAAGTGGCTGATTAGTTTTCAATACAATGCATAATAAAAACATTCTCCACTCCCCCAACTCATACACACACACGCACGCACGCACACACTTACACACACATGGATAGGCACTGCACAGTTGATCATTTGAGAATGGCAGCGGGAACATTGAAACAGTTTCAGAATGTCAACCAAGTAGACAACACTGTTCACAAATACAGGCTTAAAAGGAGAGAGACAAACACATACACGCACAAAAAAACTAAAACCCTGAACAAACCAAAACCTCCAACAATTTTCAGCATGTCCAGAGGTAAGAAAATAAATCAGGAAAATAACAGAAGAACATTAAAAATTATCAGTGCATGTTTGGGTGTTCAGGTGCTGGAGCTGTGGTGCAGCAGATGGGCAATTTACAAATTACTTTGACGTGTCCATCTTTTCCTGTTTGATGCCATCTGTAAAGAAGCAAAACAGCTAGCTGGTCAGAAAACAAGACCACATTAAAGCTCTCATCTACAGAGAATATGGTCCTCTGGAAGTAACGGATCAGCTTATCACTTTCTTCTGGATTGGAAAGAAAATGGCTTCCTGCTTACTGACTTCCCAAGTGCATCTTGGCACAGCAGCCATGCATCTTTGTATCTACACCACTTTCAAACTGTTAAGGCGTTTCAGGTGGGGCCCACCATGTTTTTGGTCTCCATGCCAACCCCCCTAAGATAATAAACAAGCTTTGGACAAAGTTCAATTAGTTGTTCTATTTGGAGGACTCCATAGGATGCACAACCCTAACTACAATCCTAATTTAGAGAAGACCAGATTGAGTTGTGCTACCTGGTTCACAGCAAGTGCAAAACTGCTTGCGCTCCTGAAATACAGAAATCAAATGTCCCTTTGCAGATAAGTTCAGTGACATTCCAATAACATACCTGTGGCATCCTCTTTCATTTTTGCCAACACACACAGTTTGATTTCTAGCCCAATGGCTTTTGCCAGAGGCGGAGGGACTGTGTTTCCCACCTGAACAAACAAAGCACAAGCAAGGGTGAAGAGTTGGCACACATACCTCATATGGCAAAGTCCTACTCTGGGTGCAGGGCCACTAACTAGAAGGAGTCTGCACTGTGAACAAAACTTGTCCTGAAGAAAGTAAGAAACATATCTCTTCCCTTCATTGCATCAAAGCCCTGATATATGTGCAAAGGCCTATTGTTAACTGAAAACCAACCGACAGAGAGATGCTTCTACAGCATTATATAATAATGTACTACGTTTTATCAGATGTGTCTTAGCCTTGAGTATCAAGAATACAAAAAACATTGGAGAGCCTTCATCTAATCTCAAATGTAATGTAATTTTTACATCTCCCCTGGCAAATACATTCATCCTTGAGGGATGCACTGTTGGTTGCTTCTGTCATATAAAACCATTGTCAATTTATCCCAATACATTCCAGAAAGCCACTTTTGTCCTTTTTATTTTTCCTGTACTATTTTTAGGTGTTTCTTAATGAAGAATTCTGAACTGTTGGTTGATCTTAACAAATCTATCATCCATCTAAGGATCTTTTCCCATTTTTGAGGTATCTATTTCCCATTTTTGAGGTATCTTTTCCCATTTTTGAGGTATCTATTCAGCCAACTGAAACAGAGTTTATCCCTAGAAGAAAATCCTTTATTTTATTATTTTTTCCCCCAAAGTTACTTTTTAGTGCTAACTTGCAAACAACTAAGTAAACAAACAATAACAGAAAAGCATTCTCAAAATTGCTGCAGGAGCAAAGTGATCCACTTCAAATGTTATTAAGAGATAGAGCAACAAAACAAGAGCACGTTCAAATTCTAAAAAACTCTAGTGAACATTTACATATACAAATCTCCTCTAGGAAGGCTCTGCAGCCACTTACCTGCCTGTGCTTGTCCAGTACATTCCCAAAGAGCCTGTAAGTATCAGGGAATCCCTGGGACCGCGCACATTCTCGCACACTCACTACTCGGTGCTGTTCAGGGTGAAGCACACGACCCTGGAAAAAGGGGAGCAGAGTCACTGGCATAGCCTCTTCCAGCTTTGTGTTGGGATATAGTTAACTACTATATTTGGAGCTACGGCTGAGTCACCCAACCAGGTTGCTCCACAATGAATATGGGCCACTTATTTCTCAAGCACAGAAATACCGTATCATCTTCTAGCCACCCTCAGCCCACTAGGAAAGCAAGCTTTATAGAAAGCAATTGGAATATTAAAAGCATTAAAATACTGAACGTTAAAAGTTAAAAACAGTAACAGGTTTTCAGGCCCTCTCAGCAGGTCAAGAGGGTGGGCACTCCTCTCAAGGGGCATAATGTTGCACAGGGTGGGTGCCACAGCAGAAAAGGTTCTTCTGCCAGCCAAAATTCCTTAGCCGACGAGATCTGAAGCATGTCTCTTTTTCTAGACCAAATGGGGGTAGGTGGATTAGGGTGAGACAGTGCTTAAGGTAGTTTGGACCCATGCCAAAAATAACTTGTTAACCGACACCTTGAATTGGACCTGGAACCAAACCGGCAACAGATGCAGTTCAGGCAACAGTGGTGTTACATGGATGAATCTAAGGTCCCCTAAAACAGTCCACACTGCTGCATTCTGTTCCAGTTGTAGCTTCTGAATACTCTTCAAGGGTAGCCCCATTTAGAGTGTATTGCAGTAATCCAAACGCAAGATCTCCATGGACTGAGTGATTCAGCGAAGGGCCTCATGATCCATGAAAGGACTCAGCAGCACTAATTTCTTAAACATTCTGCCAGTTTCCCCTTGTAGTCCCAATGACAGTAACAACCATTAAATGCTGGTGTTTTCTATCTTTCTTAATAGCATTCAACACAGCCTCCCTATAAAGCAAGAGAAGCTACAAGCAACAAAGTACAAGCAAAAAAAATAGGAGGATAGGGAAATGCACTGGAATCTCTCTTTTTTTCTAATGTTTAAAACACTGATTTACTGTATATATTAATTTGCATAGCAGATCATGAATACATTGGTAAAACTAGCCCTAATTGTATATGACAGTTGTTTTGTGAGTTTTCTCTCTTTCCATTCTCCATATTTTTATATAACCATCGTAATCATATTAGACTTCCTGAAAATTCTGTTTATCAAATAAGCATCTATTCCAAGGGAGCCAAAAAAAAAAAAAAGCTGAACGAAGCAACTTTTTTTTTAAGAGTGTTGCAGTTGAAGTGATAGGTGTCAGCATTTCTGATAATATGCTCCTTCGTGTTCTCTGTTTGTAGTCAACAGGTAGTCTTGGAAGCCTCTCACCTCATTTGTCCTGCTTTATCCAGTATGAAGACAGGGAACCTAACCCATGAAGAAGAACGTGACCGCTTCCAAGGAAAACTGTGGGTCATCATAGTTCTGCAATTCTTTTTCGCTGTTTTGGGGAATGGCTTTACAATCTACCACTTTGTGGCTTGGGAACGCACCTGGCATTCCGGCATCATCTACTCCTTCAACCTGGCGCTCTGTGACCTGTTCTATGCCATCTCCTTGTTGCCCTTGGCTGTTTACTACTTTCCGCCCAAGGACTGGAAGTACGGCTTCATTTTGTGCAAATTGGATCGTTTTGTCTTTTTTGTCAACATGTACGGCAGCACCTTTTTCATTGCTTGCATCAGCCTGAACCGCTACATCGCCATTGTCCATCCCTTCTTTGCCCATGAGCGCATCGAACCCTTCCATGCCAAAGTTGTCAGCGGGGTGGTGTGGTTTCTCGCGATAGCCATCTCAGCCCCTGTCCTTTATTTCTCCACCGTGGAAAGTAAAAACAGCACAAAAACTTGCTTAGGAAGTGCTTCTACATCAGAACTGCCTGCTTATCGGCCATATAGCTGGTTCCTCCTGACTGTGGGCTGTGCACTGCCTTTTCTCCTGACTCTCTTTTCTTGTGTGGCCATTGTTTGTGCTGTTAGACACAGTCATGGTACCACCAGGGAAGAAAAGAGTAAAGTGAAGATACTGATTTCTACAGTTGTGCTCCTTTATGCCCTCTTTTACTTGCCTTTTCATATCTTTCGCAATATGAATCTTTGTTTTCGTATGAACAAATACAAGAAGTCCATTTACTTCACCTATCAAATAACTAAAATCCTAGTTCACTTTCATGTTTGCATCCACCCGTTCATCTATGCAGCTCTAGCTAAGAACATGCCCAAATGTTGCTGCAAAGGTTTTCAGCATCAGAAAGAACTGCAAGGGAAAGAAAGGAATCTGGAATTGCAACCAGCACCCTCCTATGGCCACTGAAACCAGTGATGAAAATACATTTGGCTACTAGTTAGTTTTGCTATTCACTGACAAGCTGTCCACTGTAGTATATTTTCTACTGAAGGTAAAGATTTCCGTGTCAGTCATGTCCAACTCTAGGACACCGTGTTCATCGCTATTTCTTGGCCAAGGGAGCCAGCGTTGTCTGAAGACCATTTCCATGGTCATGTGGCCAGCATGACTATACGCCCAGGTGCACGGAACACTGTTACTGTTCCACTGAAATGGTACCTATCTAGTATTTGCATGCTTTTGAAGTGTTAAGTGGGCAGGAGCTGGGGCAAGTAATGGGAGCTTACCCCATTGAGCTGAGTTCAGGTTTTGAACTTGGGCTGTCAGCTCTCAGCATCTTTAACTGCTGAGCCATCATGCCCCCTGCTATTTTCTACTACTTTCCCATTATTTAATGGGACGTGCATCCTTGCTTTTTCATTTTTATGTGGAACCCCTAGCTTGTGCTATTAGACTACATGGAGTAGTACATAGCTGAACATAAACCGGTTCTTTTTAAGATAACATAGTGCCAATTTCAATCCTTTCAATTACATATTTTCCCACTCTACCATTTCTATATTATAATAACCATATTTTTATTCTACTTTATCATACATTCACTTGTTATTTTTCAAATAATAAATGTTTATATATTTTAACAATCACATGTTTATTATTTGCACACAATTCCATTTCAGTCTTACAATATTCGACCATATAATTCTTTTGCCTATTTTGAATTTTTCTGATAACTGTAAATAGCAAAACTGTTTACAACCATGTCCCTCTCTCATCAGTTATTTTCTTAATTTTATTTTGTCTTCCCCATGACAAAATTGCTAGCCATTTGTAAGAGACTTGCTTCATGATATTACTTCTGTCTCATCCCCAGCTTAAGCCAGTGCCTTTCTCAGTCTCTCACTCATGGCTCCGAAGTTGACCAAAATGCACCAAACTTTGGCAAACATGCCAAGGAGTGATACTGTCCTTACAGGTGGAAGATGGGCACATTTCATCACTAGCACAATTATGTCAACATATTTTTCTGCCAACTCATTAAAATTACTGTGAGGACGTGGCCACAGACTACAGAATATTTGCCTTTTTTGTACTATAATTATAGTTATGAGCTCTCAAAGCCTTCCGATGTTGCTAGTCAACATTTTGCAACTGAGTCAAAGGATCTATCTAGTCCAGTGATGGTGAACCTTTTAGAGACCGAGTGCCCAAACTGCAACCCAAAACCCACTTATTTATTGCTGGGTGCCAGGTGGGCATGGCCCACTGCGTGGGCATGGCTGTGGTAGTCATGGCAGATTGGGTGGGTGTGGCCAAGGTGGACGTGATCACCTCGATGGTGCTCGTGGGGAGGGATGCCTGTAGGGGCCAGGCAGGGTTGGGGGAGATCCAGGGGGGTCTCTGGCAGGTGGGGCGTGGGCAGGAGGCTAGTCCTGTGGGGATGCCATTGTCACAGGGCAAGGTGAGGCAGGGGCCAGGGCGGCTGCTGCCTGACACCATCGGCCCCCGCACACAGAGGCCAGCGAGCGCATGGTGCTGGGATGCATCCGGCCATGTGGGACCTCGGCGAGTTAGCGGGCAGCTGGTTGAAGAGGGACAGTTGCCATCTCCGGGGCATGGCTCGGGCTCTGAGTGCTGCCTCTGGCACGCATGCCATAGATTCGCCACCACTGATCTAGTCATACAAAAGGAAAACAGTACACAGCACTGCTTTGTACTGCTTCCACTGGTTGTCTGTTAGAAAGAAAAGCTAGCTTGCCAAGCATGGTTTTCTCAGGAAAGAAATGGTTTTCCATGCCAGAACTTTCCCTTGTGAACTTTTAGAGGTTTTTTTTTGGGGGGGGGGAATCTTCATAACTATTTAAAATTAACAGCAACTGTAGGACAAGATGAGACAAAAGAAATGGGAAATAACAACATGCATGTGTCCTGTTTAAACCACAGAAAAATGGCCATAGATTATAGTTTACTACTGTTACCCACCATACTGCCTTGTATGTGGAACTAGACACACACAAACACACACTTTTGTTGGAACTGTAATCCAGCACATTTGAAAAGTATCTGGATGAGAAAGGGTTTATTTCACAAATTTGGAGTAATAACTTTGCAACTCACCTAGTATTAACCAGTTTGGTGTAGTGGTTAAGGCACCAGGCTAGAAACCCGGAGAACCTTGAATTCGAATCCCACCTTAGGCTCAGAGCCAGCTGGGTGATTTTGGACCAGTCACACTCTCTCAGCCCTAGGAAGGAAGCAGGGATTTGACCAGCAGTCACCAGGAATCAACATTGAAAAGTATTCGGAGACTACAGTTGGTCCAGAATGCAGCCGCGTGAGTGATAGCGGGTGTTCCTCGGTACACCCACGTTACACCTATCTTCCGCGAGCTGCATTGGTTGCCTATTGGTCTCCGGGTCCAATTCAAGGTGTTGGTTATTACCTTTAAAGCTCTATATGGCTCAGGGCCAGGCTATTTGCAAGACCGCCTACTACCTCATAGTTCCCTTCGTCCGGTTAGATCCCACAAGCTGGGCCTCCTTCAGGTCCCGTCGGCCAAGCAGTGCCATTTGGTGGGGCCGCGGGGGAGGGATTTCTCTGTGATGGCGCCCACGTCTTGGAACCAGCTCCCCCTGGAGATTAGGACCGCTTCCACCCTGTTGGTTTTCCGCAAGCTGCTTAAGACCTGGCTTTTCCGGCAGGCCTGGGGTTTATAAAATCTGACCCCTGGATGAAAGTTACCGTATTGTTTGTCTAGTTAAGTTATATTGTGTTTTTATTGTTAGCCGCCCGGAGTCCTGTGGGAGTGGGGCGGTCTATAAATTTTAATAAATAAATAAATAAATAAACAAACATTGACTCGAAGGCATAAAAAAAAGGTATCCCTATTGTATGTCTATAACCTCAGTCCCATTTCCAGTCCTTCAACCTGAAGGGAAAAAGGAAGTGTTATTAAGTCAGGTTATCCCTATATGACTAAAAGGGCATCAAAAGATGTTTAGGTGGTGATACCAATTCTGAGTTTTGAAGATCTGTTCCAAGCCTACATTCCCCTCTCCATCTTGTCCTTCCTCTGCTATGCTCAACAGCAGAAATATGCCTCATTAGC